AAACACTGATGAATTGGAACCGTCTTATATGTACTCGGTGTTATTCAAAGAAATTATATTGGAAATCGATGAAGATGATAGGAAACCTGTAAACGACTTAGTGGTCTATTGCCGTCAACAACAAGTCCCTGAATCTCAACTGGAAGATTTTCAGGGTAAATATCACCAGAAATCACCAATCTGGTGGTATACCTGTGAAATGTTCCTGTACGGCATGCTCAACCGTGCCCTACGATCACTCGACATGGAAGCGATGACCAAAATGGGATTTTTTATTCGAAACCTCCATCGTCAACTGGAACAACTACATAAAGAACAATCAGGTACCTATGCGAAAACATTTTTCGTTTATCGCGGTCAGGGACTGTCCCAACTAGATTTTGATCATCTAGTCGATACCAAAGGTGGTCTACTGTCGTTCAATAATTTCTTGTCGACTAGTAAAAAAGAACAGGTAGCCATGGAATTCGTTCAACGTGCCATGCACAAGAATAAAGACATCGTGGGTGTCCTTTTCATCATGACAATTGATTCAAGTAAAATTTCAGCTTCAACTACACCATTTGCCCTCATCGACGAATACAGTGCTGTCAAAAGTGAAAAAGAAATCTTATTCTCAATGCATACTGTTTTTCGTGTCGATGATATCAAACAGGCGGTCAGCAACAATCGTCCATGGGAAGTTCAATTAAGTCTGACAGGCGACAATGATCCACAACTGGCTACTCTTACTGAACGCATAAAAGGGGAACTCTGTGGATCCACAGGATGGCATCGATTGGGTGATCTAATGCTCGAAGTGGGTCACTTAAATCAAGCTGAAGAACTTTACAATGAACTACTGAAGAACTCGTCCAGCGACAGTGATAGAGCAAATATCTATCACCAGCTTGGAGGGTTGAAAGACGATCAAGGACAATATAAAGAAGCAGTTTCATTTTATGAAAAATCACTTGAAATCTATCGAAAAACTCTTCCGGAAGATCATTCGTCATTGGCTAACACCTACAACAACATCGGTCTTGCGTATGACAACATGGGTAACTACTCGAAAGCACTTGAATTTCACGACAAATCACTTAAAATAAGAGAAAAATCTCTGCCTCCGAATCATCCCGATTTGGCTACTTCCTACAACAACATCGGT